ATTAGTTTCCATCCATTGCTTCTTGTCCTGCCTTCAGGTGCTTTGGAGAATAGCTTGAATTGCTCTTCCTTACGGCAGCCCCTGAGATACTGGAATACCTCTATCATGTCACCCCTAGTCCTTCTTTTCATTAAACTAGCCAGCATGGCTGGCTCAGGAATTCTGGGAGTTGAAGTCCACGGGTCATAAAAGAGCCAAGGTTGCCTACCCCTGAACTAGACATATCCAATTCCAGCAGCTTTCTTTATATGTTTTAGCCTCCAGTCCATAATCATCTTTGTTGCTCTTCTCTGTACTCTTTTTAGAGGCTCAACCTCTTTAGAAAGTAGTAGATTATTTAGACTCTTAAAAATATTCCCATACATTTTATCTTTTATATATTCCACAACAGACTTTAACAATTTGATGTAGTAAATATTATAAAACTCTCATCATCACAAGCCAGTATAACCAAAATGCCTGGCACTGATAATAGGAGTTGGAGTTATAATCCAGAGGCAGGAGGGCTGCATGCAGACAAAAAAAAAAGCCCTTGGGGACTTCCAAAAATTATAAATTAATTATAATGATGGAAGGGACAAAGAATTAAATGCCTAACTCAGGAATCTGTACAGGTAGTCCTTGACTTACAGCCATTCATTTAGCAACTATTTGAGGTTACAACGGCATTGAAAAAAGTGACTTACGATCATTACGGCATCCCCATGGTCATGTGATCAAAATTCAGGCACTTGGCAACTGGCATATATTTACAATGGTTGCAGCATTCCGGGGTCATGTGATTGCCATTTGCAACCTTTCCAGCCAGCTTACGACAAGCAAAGTCAATGGGGGAAGCTGGATTAACTTAACAACCACAAGATTTACTTAACAACTGCAGGGATTTGTTTAACAACTATGGCAAGAAATGTCATAAAATGTTGACTTACTTAGCAACCATTTTGCTTAGTACTGGAAATCCTCAATACAAGAAGAATTTTTAAAAGCCTGAACTTTTTTCTCTTCTCTGAAATAGCATTACCAGATGTCCAGGAAATGGAGGACATATCTATCTTTTTGTCTTCCATCCAGCAGGCATAGCCTTAAAATCAAATATTGTGCGGATTTTTGAGTATCTTAACAAGTTATCTCTTCTTGAGCAGCTTTCTCCAGGGCCCATCACTTCCCTATTAAGTGCTAACCGCAAATTAACAAGCTCAGCTCTGTGACCTTAATTAGTTGATTAGTACCCTGGGCAGCTTACCTGTTGCATGAAATTGGCAAGACCTTAATCAGTTTACATGCTGAATGCCTCCTAACAGCTCTAGTGCATTCCTGTGGTGGAAAAACAGTCTTCCTAAATGCTGAAAAAAGTAAATTTGTATAGATGTAGACCTAAAGATTTTTTCTTTGTTTATTTGCAGTTTTTCACTATAATTTTTGTTATGGATGCCAAGAAAGTTAAATAGGGTATTTCCCCCTCCCCCCCCCTCCATTTCAGTGGAGGGCTCCTAGATTGCTGGGAGCTGCAGGAAGCACAGGGTCTGTGAATGACTACAATTGCTTTCTTGTTGTCTGTATCCTTCTTTGCTTGTTCCTCTATCTTGTAACTCTACCCTGAAAAGGAGACAGGTATGTGTGAGAAATGTAGATCAGCCAGGGTGTTTTTCTCCCAGAATGTGATGAGAGTGTAAACTGCTTGCCCACATATGAGCAAAGAAATTTCTTACCATTCACACTGTGGAATAATGAAAACATTCATATGCGAAAGACTTTCTTATCAAACTATATCTTAAGAAATGGAATATTTGTATTTTTTGCTTATTAAGAGCTTCTATAAAGTTCTTAAAGTTTTCTATGACTACTGAAATGTATTTCTTATAATGTGTCTTTTTACCTATATTAGCAAAAAGTGCATTAATTAAATCTAGGTTTATGGTCTGTCACATTTCTTACAACAGTGTTTTTTTTTCATTTTTGTGGATTCATTTCAGACATTATAAAGTATACAACAGAGACATTGATTTTACCTGGTGTTATATAATATAAAATAGGTTTTGTAGTTTATAAAAGGACCTGGTGTCATCCAATATATTTTCTGCTGTGTCATGTTGGATGAGGATTATCGAAGTTGTTAATTTACTAATTAACTTGAAGAGTCCAGATTAAAGAAAACTGAAGAAAAAAATAAGATGTAGGTAATCTAAAATTAAGAATTCTGGGAATGTTTGAAATTTACTGGTGCAGTTTTTTTGTCTTGTTTTCTTTTTATAAAGCAATTGTAGTCATTCACAGACCCTGTGCTTCCTGCAGCTCCCAGCAATCTAGGAGCCCTCCACTGAAATTAGCAGCAAAATACCAATTTTTTAGCTGCTGGTTTGCACTCAATCACTCATACCCTGGTCATCTCTTCTTTGGATTTTTGTAATGCACTATTCAGCGTATTCAGAAGCTACAATTGGTCCAGAGTGCAACAGTGCAAATAATTCTGGAAACACCTAGGGTGGCACATGTAGCACCACTGTTATGCAAACCATATTGGCTGCTGATCTGCTTCCAAGTCCAATTCAAGATGTTAGCTATCACCTTTAAAGCCATTTATGACATGGATCCAGGATATTTGAGGAACTGTCTTTCCCCAATGGGATTTGCCCACCCCACCCGTTCTGGCAGAAAGGGCCGGATGTCCCCATCAACCAAAGAGTTTCGGCTGGCAGGGTCTAGGAAAAAAGATATGGCCCCTTGCCCTTAAAACATCTTGCCACCAGAGGTGAGATCTGTCCCCATCCTGTTGGTCTTTAGGAAGAGGTTTAAAACCTGGCTCTGCTGACTGGCATGAGGCCTTGATGGAGAAGCTGTATGCCAGAGGTGGTTGGTGCAGTGACAGAGAAGGCACCACTGCCACTCTGCTCTGAACGTGTGGTCTTTTAGTTTGTATTTAATGTTGTGTAATTTTAATCTTTTTTTATATTTATAATGGTGGTTGTATTTCTATTTTTTATTATATTGTAAACCGCCCAGAGTTGCCCCAAACAGCCAGAAGTATGTAAATTCAATAAGTAATAATAAATAATAATAACATTGTCATCAAACCTGTAGCAGTAACATCTTGTTAAAGTATGCCGTCCAAGTATTAATGAGGCCCCATTTCAAATGGGAACAAAAAATTTGTCACTGTTATTCAATTATATATTATATATTTTAAATAAAAATTAATTGTGTGATCTCTTGGGCATTAACTGGGGGAATCACATTTACCAGCTTGCTTAGAGGCACTGTAGTAATGATTGCTAATTTTCTGAAGTTTCAGATGATAGTATGGTGAACTACATAAAATAAAGGTATGGGAACTGCATATTTCACTGAACTTGTTACATAAAACCTGAACTCTTGAAGTACTTTTCTGTCTATCATTCATTTGAAAAGGAAGAAACAATATAAATCCTATCTGAAGGACAGGTTGCATTGGGGAGAAATGGCAATATGGCCTACCTCATCCTAGCTGTTTTTTCTCATCCAAATTAATTTGGCTGAGGTGGTCTGCCCATTTTTACAAATAAAAGATCGACTGTGCAGTTGATTCAAGGTAATAAGTACTTGCCTTGATTATTTGTTGCATTATTTTGGGAAATGTTCCATTATGGTGTATATATTGTAACTGATGTGAAGTACATATATAATGAAAAGGAAAATCTGTTGGCAGAAATCACTAGATTTTTCTTGCAAGCTGAAGTAGAAAAAGTGTTTTTCAAATAACAACTGTTGTATTGAGGACTACAGTATTTGTTTAATTTTGTTTATTGGTTTTGCCTAGCAACATGTGGCAAAAGAGATAATTGTGATATTATAGTATTTTTAAAAGCTTTGGTATAAAAACTCCTGAAATTAAAGTGCAATGGGAAATTTTCAACAGTGCCTCTTTACATAGCATGTGGGGGAGTTACGTAAGGCTACTTTCTGGAAATTTCCTACTTACATTGTAAATGGATATATTATGGAGATGACTAGGAAAACATCTCGGACATGTATGCTGCTACTAGATATGTAATTTTTAGTGTTTGAAATATGAGCACTCGTTGAACTAGTGGCTCCAGTCCAGTCTACCACTTCATTCTGGTTAATATATTAGAATAACTTATAGCTAATTACAATAATGTAATAACTATCATTGCCAATGATACACGTCCATTTGTGAGAAGAAATTGTTTCTCTAAAGTTTTGTATTATTCCAATAAGTTTAAATAAAGTTCAGAAATCCAACTCAAAATGTTTTGAAACAACATAATCTTTATGAATCATAATAAATTAGTAAAACTTCCTGTATATAGTTATGTTTCCCGCCTGGACTATTGCAACGCTCTCTACATGGGGCTCCCCTTGAGGTGCACCTGGAGGCTCCAGCTAGTTCAGAATGTGGCCGCACGGGGGATTTTGGGGGCCTCTAGATACTCCCATGTAACACCTCTCCTGCGCGAGCTGCACTGGCTGCCGGTGGCCTTCCGGGTGCGCTTCAAGGTGTTAGTAACAATTTTTAAAGCGCTCCATGTCAATGGACCTAGGTATTTGCAAGACCGCCTCCTACCAAATATCTCCCTTCGACCAGTCCGCTCCCACAGAGCGAGCCTCCTTAGGGTGCCGTCGGCCAGTCAATGCCGGCTGGCGACCCCCAGGGGGAGAGCCTTCTCTGTGGCAGCTCCTGCCCTCTGGAATGACCTACCCCCGACAACTACGGACCTGCGCCTCTTCCGCCGAGCCTTGAAAACCCATCTATTCCATGCGGCCGGCCTGGTGTAGTTTTGATTGGGCTTTGCTAGGGGTTTTATATGGGGTATTTTAGAGCAGGCTTTTTATTCAATATTTATTGTGATTTTTATTATTACCTGTTTACCTCCCTGAGTCCCGTAAGGGAGATAGGGCGGTATATAAATTTAAATAATAAATAAATAAATAAATAAATGATGATTTATAAAAGGTAGAAATGGACAAATCTTGAATCAATTACTTTTTCTTTTCTATTCAAGCTTCAAGAGACAGTGAAAAGAAAATTAGAAGGAGCACGCTCACCCCTCAACGGAGAACAGCAGAATGGTGTCTGTGAGAGAAGTTTCTCTCCAACTAATAAGCGGTTACGGAAAGATGTACCTGGGATTGAGAGAGTCAACAGTTTGCCAAACAGTTTGCCTTTATCTTCTATTTCTCCTCTTCACCAGCTTGACCTAAAGCCATCTTTGCCCCTGCAAAACAGTGGAGCCCATGAGGGTACGCTGGAAGACCTAGGTAAAAATGGTGGACTTTCTGACCTAAAACTCCCAATCAATGGATGTACCGAGCTTGAAGATAGTTTTAACATTCTGCACAACAGTAGTAGCAACAAAGAACTGAAACAAGAGCCTTTGGATGATCCTAACTGCACTGACAATTCTGACACATCCCTTTCTAATCAGAATAAACTCTTTTCAGACATTAACCTGAACGATCAGGAGTGGCAGGAATTAATAGATGAGCTAGCTAACACTGTTCCAGAAGATGATATACAAGATTTGTTCAATGAAGATTTTGAAGAGAAAAAGGAACCTGAATTTCCAAGACCAGCCACTGAGATTCAGGAAATTGCCAGTGTTAAAAGTGATCCATGTCACTCTCCATTTGCTCACTTACCAATAGGCTCTCCCCAGGTAAGACCTTCATCATCAGGGCCTCCTTTTTCAAATATCCCTACGGGTTCCAGCCTGCCTTCAGCCTCTAATGGTCCTCCTGCTCCAAGCCTGGACAGTTCACTAGCAAACTGTATGGTTCAGTCCCCTCAGACTCCCAACCAAGCACATCCCTCAAACCAAACTCAGTCACGACCAGGCAATAGTTTCCACATGAATCCAACAACAGTGACAACAGCAGGCCCAGGGCCTAGCCAAGTGACTGTGACTAGCACTGACTTGTCTCCAGCTGAGCAGTTGAAACAGATGGCAGCCCAGCAGCAGCAGCGGGCTAAGCTCATGCAGCAGAAACAGCAGCAGCAGCAGCAGCAGCCACAGCATCCAAACCAAGTATCTAGCTGGTCTCCAGTGGGACCTCCATCTAGTCCGTATGGAGGACCTTTCAGTACAGATAAACCAAATAGCCCAATGATGTACCCCCAAGCCTTTAACAACCAAAATCCTGCAGTGCCTCCCACGGCAAACAACTCACAAAAGAATACAATGAATAACTACCTCCCTCAAAACCATATCAATATGATTAGTCAGCAGCCAAATAATCTGGGTACAAACTCTTTGAACAAACAAAGCAATATGCTTTCTTATGGCAACACTAAGCCTCTGTCTCATTTCAACGCTGACCTTAGTCAAAGGATCACTCCACCAATGTCCAATTCCAACAAGAGTCCCATGATGCCATATATGCAGCAACAACAGCAACAGCTTCCCCAACAGCCACCAGTTCAGGCCCAAATGACATCTTTGAGTGAGGAGCAGAAGCGCATGCTTATTTTGAAGCAGAAAGGAATGATGAACCAGCCAGTAGCTTATGGAACTCTTCCATCTCTAGGTCAGGTAAGTGTGCACAGAGAATGTTCTCTGTGAATGGCTCATGTGAATTAACATAATAATGCAATAGAAACTTGTGTACTGTTCTTTAAAATTTTCTCTTTGTATTTGCCTTCTTTAAAAAAAGCATTTGTTTTTGTGCATATAACTTTCTAGTAGCTTCAGACTCAACTTTCTCCTAAATTAGTGTTATTTCTGTCAGTACATAACTACGAAATCTATATTGGCAATAGTTTTGAATGCTCATCTCCAGATAAAATATAATCTGTTTTGATAATGTGTTTTTGATTGATATTTGCTGTATTTAGATGGGTGTTATAGTTTGGGAAAGCCATATTTTGCCAGTGCCATACTGAATGTGAAATCAGTGGGCTTGAACAGACTTATACCAGCCAACTCCAGATCAGCCAGAAGGTTTTAATTTAAAAAGAGTAAAAAAGGATTCGATATGTACCTCAATGGAGGAAAACAAGGGATGAATTTGATTGATTACAAGTTAGAGCTGCTATTAAGAATTACCTCATAGCATTAAGAGTGAAGAATTGTCAGTTTTGCATCTGCAAAGTGCCATCCAGCGGCCCTGTTCGGGGTTGCCTATTGCCTTTTGGGTAAAGAGGATTCTGAGGTTCATCTTAAGGGTTGAGCTGAATAATTTTCAATGCACCTAATGGATAAATTCACTCAAATCCATTCTTAATTGGAAACCAAGCATGGAGCAAGTCTGTTGGAAATACCTTGGGAATGTCTTATTCAGTTACCTGGGAAAAGTTTGATTTTGTTGGACCTGGGAAAGTGTATTATAAGTGGGATTATAAGTATAGCCACTTTGGATTTGGATTCATACCCCTCCTGACAGCTAGAGGTCGCTCAGGGGATGATACGCAGGTGGATCTAGTGATGGTTAATGCAGCCTTAGTGAGACGATGTTACAGCACCATTTAAAGAGCCGCTGGTGTATCCTCTTCTCAAGAAGTCATCACTGGACCCTACCATTTTTCATTTTTGTTCAGTCTCCCATCTTCCCCTCTTAAGGAAGGTGGTTGAGAAGGCAGTCTTTCTCAGCTCCAGAGGATCCTGGATAAGACAGATTATCTGGACCCCTTCCAGTCAGGTTTCAGTCCGAGATACGAGATGGAAACAGCATTGGTCATGCTTTTGGATGATCTCTGACAGAAGCAGTATAGGAGTAGTGCATCCATCTTGGCTCCTCTTGACCACTTGGTGACTTTTGATATCACCAAATATCATTCTGGGCAGGCTTCGACAGTTGGGAATGGGGGCACAGTTTTGTGCTGGTTCACCTCCTTCTTTTGGGACAGTCCCAGTTGGTGTTGTCAGAGAGCAAGAGGTCCAACTCTGTTTTGTGTGATGCTGCAGGGCTCAGTGCTTAATATCTTCATGAAGCCATCAGATAAGATCATACATTGCCACAAAATGAAGCATGATCAATATACTGATTAAACAAAGATATATATCTTCATCCTGGCTGAAGTAAGTGATGCTATGGATGCCCTTTTGCAGTACTTGGAGGCTGTGAGGGTCTGGATTGGAGAAAAATAGGCCTAAACTGAACCCTGGTAAGATGGACTGGCTGTGAGAGAAGGCTCTTTTATAAACTCAAGGTTTATGATCTTTGGTTCTTGATGGGGTTACACAGAAGGATCTGATGTGTAATATGTGGGTCCTCTTGAACTCACAACTCCTGCTCAAGGAGCAAATGGCAGTCGTGGCTAGGAAGGCCTTTGATCAACTTCATCTTGTGCACCAGTTATGCCCTTCCCTGATTTGAGAAAATCTTTTAGTCACTCATATCCTGGTCATCTCCTGAATGGAATATTGCAATGTGTTCTATATGGGACTGCTCTTGAAGACTATCCAGAAGTTGCAATTGGTGCAGAACGTAGCAGTGTGAGCAATCTTGGGAATTCCTAGGATTGCGCAAATAACATCTCTGCTATGCGAGTTCCATTGAGTGCCATTTTGCTTCCGGATCTAATTCAAAGCAACGTTTATCACCTTTAAAGTCCTTCGTAGCATGGGGCTAAGTTACCTGATCCCAGTTACATTGTCCCATCCCACCTAGTCAAGCAGAGAGAATATGTTGCGGATCCCATTGGTTAATAATTTCAGTTGGTGGAATTCAAGAAGAGAACTTTCTCTGCTGTTGCCCTTCGGAATACCTTACCTCCAGAACTGAGGTGAACCCCCTTCTCTTCTGGCCTTCAGAAAGAGTATTAAGACTTGGCTTTGCCAATTGCATGGGAGTTAAAGAGTGATATACAATCTTGGAAATGGTGTCATGAGCATGTTCTCTCCATCTTTGAGCTGTTTAACTTTTAATATATTAACCCTAAGCCTTTTATTCTGTTTTTAAGTCTGTTCTTATTTATACTTTGATATGATATCTTTTTAATTATAACCTGCCCTGAGTCATTTAGTTGAGGTGGGTGGTGTAGAAATATGAAGGAATGAACAAATAACCATTTAATATTTGTTTGTTTAACAACAATGGGATTATAGTTCAATTTTGCCATAAAATATAGCAAATTGTTTATTGAAATATGGTTGCATAAATGTTTTGACATGGTTTTTAGACTGTTTTTAGGTTGTTATTCAGTTTGATTCTGTCACCTTTAAAATATTGAAATATTGAAAGTTTTAAAAACAGTTTAGATCAGACTGATGCGGCCCGCGAAGTGGTTTCATGTGGCCCACAAAGCCATCCTGGAAACAGTGAGAGAACAGCCCCCACTGCCTTGGCCTTGGCCCAGGCCAGACGGCTGGGAGCCAATGTATAATTTTGTGGTGGCCATCTATGCTGAAACGCATTCAGTTTTAGCTCCACAAGGCCGTCCAGAAACAGCAAGGAACCAGCCCCTGCCGTGTTGGCCCTGCCCCCTGGGTGCATGCTGGGGAGGTGTCACCCTTTGTGAGGAACGAAGAAATGCATCATGCCTTGGCGCTTGCCCTTGTTCCACCCCCTTCTGCCAGAGACCCTCAGATCTGTCCCACTCCTGCTCAGGCCCCCATAGGCACCCTTGATGCGAACAATGTAGAGCTGGCCATGCCCACCCAGTAGGCCACACCCACTCCATCCACACCCACCCAGTAGGCCGCACCCATCCTGGCCACACACCCCCACCCCCCGAGGGCAACTGCAATGCTGATGCGGCCCTCAATGAAATTGAGTTTGACAACCCTGGTTTAGATATTCACCAAAGGAATAAAACTGTGGTCTTTCAAATAGGAGTTGATGTGATCACTATTGCAAAAAATAATATCTTTGCTTATCAGTAGAAAAATCTAATACATGAAATACTTTTTTAAATCTGGACTGAAATACATGGTGATCTCATTATCTAGCTCTTTCTTTTTATTATATAAAGTGTAAGCTTTATGTCCCTGATTAACATATCCAATCCCTTCTTTCTTAATAATGGTCTCAGTTCATGTAGAATAGTGTTATTCAACTTCAGTAACTTTAACATGTATGGACTTCAACTTCCAAATTTCCCCAGCCAGGCAGACTAGGGAATTTTGGGAGTGGAAATCCACACGTTACCAAGGTTGAGAAACCGTGCATGTACTGTAGAATAGTACAGATTTGCAGATTATATGTAATATAAAATAGCATAACTATTACCTGTTGTAGTCTCTCGCTAATTCCCCAATGATTAGTTTTCCCTACTCATCTTCTAAACCAGCTTTCTCCAACTTCAAGCCTTCTTCAGCCTTTTAGATTTATTGGGGTCTCAGCAAGGATAGTGAAATGTATTATCAGGCCACCATTGCAAATCTTGTCATGTTCTTTCCTAACATATTTGGAGAACAGGAAATTCAGAAACACTGTTGTTGAAGGTCCCATTCTAATCACCACTCTATAGCCAACAGCAAACCATACAATAGCTTTACCTTTGCACTGTCAAGTGTGGTTTTTGTGTATGTATATATGTATATATGTATTACACATCTATGTAAACACACACAAAACATGGTATCAAGAAGCAAAAAAAATGCATCCCAGTTTCAGAAAAATACCCATATCTGTACCTAATAAAATCCTGTATCTTTTAATCTTCAAATGACCTAACCAAATAGAAATCTAATCTTTCTACTGTATATAGAAGGATGTTTGCAGTCCCAGTAGGCTAATTTATAGGCATACTGATTAAAAAATGAATTAGGTGGGAAAGGTAAAACAGTAGCCTTCCATATGGAATGTATTTCCCCTTCTTTCTCTTGCTGCTTTCCTGAAAAATGTTTGTCAATTGACCTCCTGAGCAGTCAGGAATAATTGTTCTTCACAATGATGGGAAAAGATCGTCTGATAACATAAAATTACAGAGATTCTGCCCTTCCCTGTCTGACTTTATTCAGCCTCAGGAAAAAAAAGGGATTCAAGGATGGGCAGAGTATTTTTCGTTGGTTTTATTCATTGGTTTATAAAAATAATAATAATAAGGAATGGGCTTCTTTTTGAAATTGTTTCTAGCATAGGACAATATCATTGCATAGTTATTATCGTTATTAGGTGTTTCATGTTCCTCTCTGTGCTTCCATATTTTTTTTCTGTAAATGTTTAAGGGTTGCCCGATAAAAGATTATCCTGGTAGAAAAACCTGGCCCGAACTGTTGCTTTCTAAATGAGAAGCATCTGCACTTCCTAAATTTCCTTTTATTGACTTTGTTGACCAAGAATTCTGGGGATTACTAGTTCCAATATATATGAATAGTCCTGGATTAGACTCTTCCCTTAGCAATACCTTAATCTAGCTTCAGATGTATTGAAGGAAGGATAGGGAGCCTTATTTATGGAGGAAAGTATGTACAAGTATGTACAAATATTTCATTTGTCAAATTTTATTAACTTGTTTCTGTTCCCACAAGTATGATGGGTTCTGTTGATTCTGTAGCATTCTATGTGGTACTCTGAGAAAAAAATATTTCACCATCCCTAAGAGGGAAATGTGACAGTCTCTGCAACATGATTATTCTTAAGTTTATAT